CCCGCTCTTCTGCCTGCCCGCGACGACCGCCGGCGAGTTGGGAATCGGCAAGCTCGGCGGCCGCCGCGCGGCGCCGTGGGCACGGCTGCATCCTCAGTTGGCCGCGGCGCCCATGGGTTGGAACTGGGCGCCCTACTTTGCGCAGCGGGCCCACGAGCGCGCGCTGGGCCAGCGCCCTGCCTTGAGGCCTGAGCTGCGCGCCGTGGACTTCGAGCCGCCCCCCTCGCCGCTCTCCGAGCCCGCCCACTCCCTCTGCGTCGACAGTGCGCTGGTGGTGGGGACGGACCGCGAGGAGGTCACGCGCGAGAGGCGGCCCCCGCCCCAGACGCTAGAAGCGGCTGGTCTGGCCGTGCACGACGAGTCCGACGCCGCGGAGGCCACGGCGATGCTGGGCGGGCAGCTGGAGGGCCGCCCTGCGCGGGCGACCTTGGCGCCACGCCGCTTTTGGAAGCTGCGCCTCGGAATCGGCTTCTTGTCGCAGCGGCGGCCGCGGGTCACCAGTCGCGATATCGAGCACCTCCTCGGCCACTGCACCTTCGCGGCGCTCTGCAGGCGGGAGAGCCTCAGCTGCTTCAGCGTCATCTATGGCTTCGTGCAGCAGGGGTGCCAGCGAGCGCGGCCGCTGTGGGCCTCAGCGCGGAAGGAGCTCAGGATCTTCCGCGGCATCCTGATCACGCTGGAGGCGCGCCTGGATGCGCCGTGGTCGTCGCAGGTGGTGGTGACCGACGCCTGCGAGACTTGTCACGCGTCCGTCTCCGCCGCCTGGGACGTCGCCGATGTCGCTGCGGCGGGCCGCTGGCATGAGCGGTGGCGATTCCGCCACGCCCGCGAGGAGGACGGGACTTGGCGCCCGCGCGACCGCGCTGCCCGCGCGGCCGAGGCTGCGCTTCTAGAGGCGGATCCGTCGCATGCAGTCCTGAGGGGTGAGTCATCAAAAAGCTTCCCCGAAGCGTCGGCGCACTATCTCCGCCCCTCCAAGTGGGAGCTGATGCACTACGTCCCGATGTTTAGGAAGGAGCCTATGCACCGTAAAGAAGCAAGAGGAGATCTACACGCCGTCAAGCTGATCCTGTCGGACGCGGATTCCTGGGGGAATCTTGGGGGACAATCTTGCACTCGCACTTGCACTCTCGAAAGGACGACGCCGTGACATTTACTTGCTCAATATACTTCGCCGCGCCGAGAGGCCGCCCTTGCCCTTGCCACGGGGGCCCGCATCCACCGCCGATGGGCGCCTGGCGAGTTGAATGGAGCCGATGGCGCCAGCCGAGCCCGTGAGCGTGCTGACAGCGCCAGTGGTGACCGACCAAGCCGGCGAGAGCTTGCCGCGAAGGGCCGGCAGTTGCGCCCACACCGTGAGACTGCTTGTCGCTCGCCGGCTGGCGCGGGCCCCCCTGGCCTCAGAGAAGCTGCTGCCGAGACGGCCCACGCGGGCACCGCGACTGGCTGGGCCACTGGACCAGGCTGCAGCGTCGCGTGTGCCGCCCGCCACAGCTGTGGGACGAGCCGAGATCCTGGGCGGGCGCCCCGGGTCTCTGGCTCCCCGAGCCCGACTGGCTCGTGCTGTGGGGCGTGTAACGAAGCGACTGGAGGCGCGGCCGTTTTTACCGAACTTTGCGCCGCCGACGGCAACCATTGTCCCGCTGCGGGAACTGCCGAGGTCCGTCAGGCGTCGGCTGGACAGCGGGGAGCAGGCGCGGGACACCACTCGCCAGCTCTCCATCACCGAGACGGCCGCTGTAGGGAAGCGGAGCCGCCACCAGTATCGCAATCTGCTGGAGCAGTTCTTGCTGGCCAGCAAGCTGCAGACGCTGGGCGCGGCTGCGCCCCTGCTGGACGCCGCCGCGGCGAGGTTCTTCGACGAGCTCTACCTGGCAGGCAAGGTGGCGTCCACACGCGAGAAGCTGATCGCCGCGATCGCCATGCGCGTGCCCGACTACCAGTCCAAGGGCCGCCTGGCCTTGCCCCGCGCTCACCGCGCGCTGCGACGCTGGCGGATGCTGCGGCCGTCGCGGACGCGCCGTCCGCGGCCTTGGGCCACCTGCATGGGGATCGCCCAACGCCTGTGGCGAATCAGTGGCAAGAGGGAGATGGCTTTCTACTGGCTGCTGATGGTGGACACCTACCTGCGACCTGGGAAGGCCTTCCGCTTGACTAAAGGCCAGGTGCGGCCGCCGCAGGCCAAGATGCCCATGGTTACGATCCACATCAACCCCGGCTACCTGAAGAGGCCGAGCAAGACGGGGGGGATGGACGAGACGGTCGACATAGCCAAGCCATGGCTGGCGTCGCTCATTGTGAAGCTGAGCCAGGGCCAGCCGACCGACACGCTCTGGACGTTCAAGATGCCAGAAGTGAAGCAGGCCTTCGAAGAGGCGGCCAGCTCGTTGGACCTCGACGGGCTCAAGCCAGTGTTGTACATGGGCCGGCACAGCGGGGCCTCCATCGACCGCTTCACGGGGAGGATCTCGTTGCTGGAGGTCCAGCGGCGCGGACGCTGGAGGCAGCCCGCCTCGGTTCGCCGCTACGAGAAGCGAGGCCTGATCCAGGCGGTCTGGTCGCAGATGACAACGGCAGCGCGGGCCTATTGCCTGCGCGCGGAGGTCGAGCTGCCCGCGCAGCTCAACAACGTCTGAATGAGAGGCTTCGCTCGCTCCCGTCCCGTGCCAAATGTGGTCAGTTCTTCTTCATCGAAATCTTCTCGGGTTCTGAGCACTTCTCGAACACCTTGAGAAAGCGTGGCTTTTTCTGTGTTTTCTTTCGATGTGTTGCAGGGCCCAAAAGGTGACCTCCTTCGGCCCGCTGTCTTGAACCGTATCATTCGCATGATTAGAAGTGACAAATGTCTCGGGTTTCTTGCGGGCGTTCCGTGCAAGAGTTTCTCCTTTGCGCGGGTGGCCACAACGCCATCCGCAGCAGTGAACACCCCCTCGGCCCCCCCTCCCTCCCGCCTCCCTTCCAAGTCGTGGTAGACGAGGGCAATAGAATACTACAGGTGTCTATCCAGATTTTCAAAGCTTGTCAGAAGGTGCGTGCTCCTTTTCTTATGGGAGAACCCACAGTCATCCTACATGTGGAAAGTAGACTCCGCACGGCGTGTTTTACGTTGGCCTGGTGTCCAAGACGTGATTACTAATTATTGCGGCTGGGGTGAGCCCTGGTGTAAACCAACCAGGTTCCGAGTTGTCCTGCTTCTTCGGTGTCGACCTATCCGCGGGCTTTGCACGTTCTCCGGGAGGAAACATCAGATCCTCTAGGGCCGTGATGGCCTCGGTGTCCATTGGACCGCTCGTGCCACCGCGTATCCCAAACCCCTGTATAATGCGATGGCCGACGTGTTCCTTGACGCCGCTTTTGATCGCGCCCTTAAGCAGAATTTCCGCTCTTTCCCCTTCCGCCCCTCCCCCCCGCCCCATTCGTCTTAACACCAGTGTGCCGTGCTCCAGAGAACCGAGTGCGATCTTTGGATGCTTCGAAGTCTGGCAATGCGTTTGGTTTCAGCTGTCCGTTCGCTGCTGCCGCCCTTGTCGCCGCCGCTCTCGTTTGGGTCCCACATGCGGATGACAGATACCACTGCTCTGAAAATTAAGGACGGGCGGGGAACCTCCGAGTTGTCCTGCGAACGTGTAGGGGGTGCAGCACAGAGTCCGTTTTATTTCGCTCAAGCCTCCCGCCCTGTCTCGTCTCTCGACTTCCCGCCCTTGCTCACGGCGGGCCGCAAGCACAGACTTGAGCGGCAATGAGTTTGGTTTCAGCTGTCCGTTCGCTGCTGCCGCCCTTGTCACCGCCGCTCTCGTTTGGGTCCCACATGCGGATGACAGATACCACTGCTTTGAAAATTAATGACGGGTGGGGAACCTCCTGGTGATGATGATGATGATGGTGGTGGTGATGCTGATACTGATGCTGGTACTGATGCTGATGATTATGTTGATGTTGACCCAAAATGGGGTCCAGCGAAAAGACGGTGGCGCACTAGATTTGGTGCAATAGATTTGTGGGGTTGCAATAGACTTGGGTCGTGCAACACATTCCAGTGCGCAAATGTATTGTTAGACTTTCGCGTGCAAAACATTAGCTGCAAAACGACGCAATACAATTATCAGGCGCAATACGTTTGCAATTCAATTGCCCCAAACCTATTGCACCACCCTTTTTCAGCTGGACCCCATTCTGGGTCAATCAAATACATGGTCTACGATCGGCGGAACTCCAACATATTGATGCTATGTGTGCGTCGCCCCCCCAGGGGACACGCGCGCACCGAGAAATCTGATCAGAGTGAGGGGGCCCGAACGGTCATTCTTCGTCCGTGCGCGCGCGTAGCCGGATTGAGGGCACGGCCTCTGGGGGCTACACTTGGGGGCTACACATGGGGGCTACACATGGGGGCTACACATGGGGGCTACACTTGGGGGCTACACTTGGGGGCTACATTTGGGGGCTACACATGGAGGCTACACTTGGGGGCTACACATGGGGGCTACACTTGGGGGCTACACATGGGGGCTACACTTGGGGGCTACACATGGGGGTTCTGGTGGGACGGGGACAGGGACCGCCGCCTCCGCCGCCCTCTCACTCTTATCCGCGACTGCGGGGTGCTACGTAGCATATTTCGTCGTGGCGGGCGTTTTCTGGCCGTACCGCTCGGGAAACGATGTATTACAAGATGCGTGTACTAGGTGTTCGGGTCGGACGCGCGTCTCCAAGGAGAACACATGGTACGAGTATGTTTTTGTGCGTCCCATACGATGTGATGCCTGCAATCGCGGCGTTATGTTTTTCCGCGAGTGCGGCCTCCAGGGCCTGTTATCGGACCGGTTCCACCAGAAACGGGTCCGGGGCACAAAATTGGGGGTCGTGACCTGTAGCGCCGCGAATTGACAAAACGAGAAAAGCATATCGGCAGATGTCAGGGTCGTCGTCGTTGGCGCCGTCGTCGTTGTCGTGACCGCCGTCGTCGTCCGTCCTCGGCGGTCGGCGTCGTCTTCGTGGAGGCCATGAGCCTGCTGGCAGTGCTGCTGGAGAAGGACGGGCAATTCGCGAAATGCGAGAAGTTGCACGTTCGCTTGGTCGAGGACCTCACCCGGCTGAAGAGTGATCGGAGGACGCCAACCACCCATTTGCAATGTCCTTGGACGGGTCTATCCTGGTTCTGGGCTCGGTGTTCCTAACGGATGTTCCCAGAGGTCTCTGGGAGGTCTTTGGGAGTCCCCAGAGGCTCATCCACATCCACAGCCTCGTGGTCTGGATTCCTCAGCCGCGACATCCCGTGGATGCAGGGCGGCTTTGTGCAATGCCCCCGCGCGGAGCGCATACATGGGATCGCGCATCCATTGCGCCTCGGACGTCTGACTGCGAGGACGGGCAAGTCGCTCGGGAGCGTCCTGGAACGCTCGAGCACGGCGCAGGCAGCGCTGTGGGCTCGCTGCGGCGACCGCGGGCGGGGCCGAGGATCTCGAGGGGAGGAGGAGGAGGAGGAAGAGGAGGAGGAGGAGGAGGAGGAGGAGGAACAGACATTCCAAGGATGCGGGCAAGTCGCTCCAGAGCGTCCCGGAACGCTCTCGGAGAGGTCCAGCGGCGCCCTGGGAGCGGCCGCGGCGCCTGGTATCAAGTCGGGCATGTCCCTCTACAGGAGGAGTATTCAAAAATAGTCAACAATTTATCCAGGGACGATTCTTCTATTGTTTTTGGCAATTTTGGAGTCCGTGTTGACTAAATGTTATTGTTCCCCCGAAATCCGCCTGTAGGGGAACCGCCCGCCGGCTCCCAGAAGTTCCCGTCTCAGCCTGCCTTCGTTTATTCCACGGATGTGAATTGGAGTCTGACTCTTCAACGGGTTCCCGTGCCTTGGCATCGCTCGGACGCGTGCATTTTTTTCGGCAAGGAGCATATCGGATCATCTTGCGAAAAAAATCAACGCACGAAATCGAAAAAAATGGACGGGGAACGGACGTCCGAGCGATGGCGAGGTGAGCGAGTTGAATGGTTTCGCGGGCCGGGGGCAAGCGCGGCGGGCAAGCGGCACAGGCAGCAGCGGGAGCACGAGCAGCTGGGCCGCAGCCATCTGCCCCGCTGACCAGAGCCCCGAAGAAGCCATATCTGTGGGTGCGCAGGCCGCGTGTCTCAGGGGAGGCCCAGCATACCCCAGAGCAGACGTACCCTGGAGAGCGGGCCTCAGGGCCCACCTCGGGGCGCCTGTCGGCTGCGTTTCGGCGCCCACCATGGCTGGAACCGTGGCCGCTGCGACACCTCCACCTCACTGGGGGTACGTCGTCCTGGGGGTGCGTCTGGCCCTTCCCAGATGAGCAACGCAAACAAAACGGGGTTGTCTTCACCGACGCTGGCGCGTAAGTTGACCGCGTAAGGTCGAGCGTAATGCCCTCGTCCTCTCGACGACGACGACGACGACGTTTCTTTCCGTCGCTCAAATGTCGGTTGGCTCAAAGTCTAGTTGGGGTGCTGCGGCCGGGTCTTCGCGGGAGCACGCCGACCTCGGCGAGGCCGGGGGCCCCCGAGGGCCCCCCGGGCCCTCGCGACCCCCACCTGCGCCCCTGCGAGCAGCGCCGACACTGAGAACTGGTGCTCGCGCTCGCCGTGGAAATCCGAGCCCTACCCTCGCCGATCAACGATTCGGGCAACTCGACGGGCAGCGGGAACAGGTTTCGGAATTCGTGGAGCACGTGGCGAAATCCGAACCCCGTCCCCGCCCATCGATTCAGGAGAACCGATGGTTGGCGGGGTCAGGGCTCGGATGTCGCCACCTACGCGCGCAACATGTTCGTCGCTCGTGTGTTGGTGCTCTTCAGTGGGAAACCAAAAGGTACCAATAAAATCAGTCTCTGGGCCTCTCTCGGGGTGCGTTCTGACGGAAATTTCGTGACGAATTCATCAGTGGCGACGTGGGCCTCCCAGGAGGCGCAACAAAAGGCGCAACGGGGGCAGGGTAGCGGTATCGGCACCTTTTTTCTCCGATCCGAGGTGAGTCCGATCCTTTCACCTTGGCGGCCCTCAACAACTACGCCGTGTTCCTGAACACGATCGGGAGGCACGAGGAGGCGGAGCAGCACCTGCGCGCGAGCCTGGAGACGAGGGGCTGGGCATCCAGGGAGCAGCCCGGGGCGCTCGACGAGCCCAAGCTCACCTCCCTCAGCAACCTCGGCTCCCTGCTGGAGGCGATGGGCAAGTGCTCGGGCCTCCAAGCAGAGGAGGGCGAGCTGAGACCACGGGAGTCGGGCTTCGGGCGGGCGGTGGGGAGGGCCTCGTCGCCGCGGCTGGACGCAGCTCGGGAAGCTTGTGCGTTTGGGCCCCGGGAGAGAGGTCCGGGGATCGAGTTTGAGCTGCCGTTGCCTCAACTCGCCCTGCTCCGATGCAAGCAGCCCCCCGGGAACCTCGTGGAGCCCCTGCCCCTCCTGCGCCTCCTTCAGGCCCCTCCGAACCTCAGGAGGTATGGTATGCTGCCCCCCCCCTCTCCCCAAAGCTCGGGCACTGCAAACACGTGCGGGGGTCGGCGGCCGAATGATTTGCTCAGTATTGTTCGCCGTGCTGGTTTCCGTTGGGCGATTGCTTCTTCTGGCGGATTGCACCCCCTGGGCGACCCTACACGATAGAGAAAACCCCTGCCTGCTCGTACAAGGCTTGCAGTACAAGTCCTTACCCTTCCCGTTGAGTCGTTCGTAGTCGTAGTAGCGCTCGTCGTAAGAGTGATAGCAGGAGGCGTCGTATAAGTAGTAGTAGTAGTAGTAGTAGTAGTAGTAGTAGTAGTAGTAGCAGTCGTAGTCGTAGTCGTAGTAGTAGTAGTAGTAGTAGTAGTAGTAGTAGTA